ACACACACACACACACACACACACACACACACACACACACACACACACACACACACACACAGACACACACAGACACATGCACACGCACGCACATACACACACACACACACGCACATGCACGCACTTGGTAAGGGGCGAGAGGTCGTAGCTCTCAAACGTGTAAAAATCAAACACGTAGCAGCTCATGGTGTTGCTCTGCTGGCACGCGTCACGCGAGTACCACTTGAACACATAGTGGCAGTCAGACGTCTTGTCTTGGAAGTACAGCTGGGACTCGGATGGGTCTGCAAAGTAATCGCAGACGAAGATAATCTCCGACGAGTACTTCTGGTTACCAACGCCGCAGCTGTCGCCGTCCGTGTAGATGAGATGCACCGTCTCGCCCTCCACCGTCGGCATGTCTGTTGCGCGGCCAAGGTTCACAGAGCCGCCTTTGCACACGCCGGCAGTGCCGCTGCCACAGCGCATGTCCGCGCACACGCTCACTTGCAGCGCCTCTGTGCCGAGCTTGTTCACAGCGGTGACGGGGCTGCCCTTGAGCGGGCGCAGGTCAAAGTATGTGCTGGTGATGTCGTTTGTCACCTGGCAGTTGCTCGCGTCCTCCTGCTTCTGCTGCCCGCCGCATGCCGCACTTGTGCGCCAGTGGAAGATGTAGTAGCAGCCGCGCTCCTGTACGAACACGGGCTCGCCCAGCGTGTCGCCGCAGGTGAAGTAGATGCGGGTGCGCCGTGGTGCATAGTAGCACATGTCACCGTTGTCATACTCGATAAACAGCTCGCCATTCTCCACCTGGGGGCCGGCAACGTTGCCCATGTTCTGCGAAGCACCGGGTTGGAAGGTGTGTGTATGTGTGTGTGTATGTGTGTATGTGTGTGTATGTGTGTGTGTTGTGAGGATGGGGGATGCGAGGACGGGCAGCAGGGTGAAGAAATGCGAGGTGTAATGTAAGAAAAGAGCCAGACAAACAAACAGGCGAATTCCAGACACACACACACACATGCATGCATGCATGCACGCACCCTCTCGAGAAATTTGCCGTTGGTGCGGGAGATTTGGCACGCGGAGGACGTGTCCTTGCAGTCCGGATAGTCGCGCAGCGGAACGAGGTTCCGGCACACGTTGATTGCGTAAGTGTACTTGTGGTCCTCCCGCGGGTCCTCGGCGTAGTAGTTGTCGACGGAGTTGCGAAGAGGCGACAGGTCATACTCAACGCCGCTGTCCGGGTCGCGTGCAAGGCACTCCACCTCCTGGCCCTTGTGGCAGGCGAGCGACGTGTACACGTAGATCACCGTTGTGCATGAGTCATCCCCAGCGTCACCCAGTTCCACGCGCGGTGTGGACGTGCGCGTTGGGTCGCACTGCATCTCCAGGCGCGTGTGGCGCTTGCCGTCACCGTTCTCGCTCGTGCACTTCTCGCCGTTGGTGTACGTGAGGGAGAGGGAGCCCTCGTCAAAGCTCAGGGCCTGGTTCACGTCACCTGAAGGAGGGACAGAGAGGTGTGTGTGTGTGTGTGTGTGTGTGTGTGTGTGTGTGTGTGTGTGTGTGTGTGTGTGTGTGTGTGTGTGTGTGTGTGTGTGTGAGGGGTAGGATGGAAAAGGTGGAACGAGAGGAAAGTTGGGGAGAAGAAGGGAGGTCGGCGTGTCAGATTGCAAAACGACGAAATGCGCACTGCCCTTGTCACACTGCACGCGTGCAAACATCAACCACACATCAACCACACGTGAACACGCACCGTATGAGTTGGCTCCAACACACGCGCCGACGCCGCTGCTGCAGCGAGTGGCCGGCTGGCAGATGTTGAAGTCGATGATTTTCCCGTCGGGTCGGCGCACGGAGTACCCGCTGGCAGACTTGAGCGGAGACAGGTCGTAGTACTGCCCAGTCAGGATGTCCGTGAGCTGGAGATCGGGGAGGGGGGGAGGGTCGTGTAGTTTATGCGTGCATTTGTTGTTTTGAGTGCATGCGTACATTTGTTGTTTTGTGAGCACATGTGTGAAAAACGCGGGATTGAAGAAAACAAGGTGATAACGAACAAAACATTAGCAACACTCGATGGCCACACCAACAAGCAACAGCAACGCGTACGCAGACAACAGCACAAGTGACTCACGTGGCAGTCAACGCCCTTGAACGTTGAGAGCGGGCAGGCGTAACTCGTGCGCCACTCAAGGTGCGTCACGCACGCATCGCTCGTGTCCACATACAGTGGCGCATCCACAACGCCTGACGCACGCAAGCGGGGAAGAAGGAGGTGTGAGGAGAAGAGAAAACCCATGAAGGTTGGGAGGAAGGGACGGCTGATGAAGGCCGGTGCACGCACAAGGTGGGCAGGACACACACACACAAAACAAACAAACAAACAAAGCAACCAAAACAAACCAAACCAGTAAACAAAACATAACAAAACAAACAAAGCAAACAAGCATGTTGTTTCAACAAAAGATGACGCACCTGCGATTGGAGTGCCGTCGTCCTCGCGGCGCGGGCACACCATCTCCACAACGACGGAGTGCGACAGGTCGGTGGTGTTGCCGCACGAGGCGCCATCGCGGTACGACAGCGTCAAGTGCCCGTCCGCGTCCTCCTCAGGCAGACCGGGGTGGCCGTAGTTCACGTCAGGCGTCTGGAAGTGGCGTGTGTGTTTGATGTGTGTGTGTGTGTGTGCTTGTTGTGTGAGCGAGGGATTGTGATTCATGAAGAGACATCTTATCAAACCCCCTCTCGCGTGTGTGCGCGCGTATGTGTGTGTGTGTGTGCTTGCACGTGACAGGGGATGTGTGATCAGGGTCCAGTCGCATCACGAGGTCGAGCACAATGGATGGCACAGGGTCGTACAAAGTAGCCGTATGTGAGGCGACACGCGCCCATGTTGGGGGAGCAGGAGTGACCGTCGGGCACAAGCGGGCGGCACACGTTGATCTGATGTTGGTTGGTTGGTGGCAGTGGCGATGGGGAGGTGGTTAATTGGGTGGAAATCGACGAATGCGCGGGGCGAAAAATAAAGGAACAAATGGGGAGATTGCGTTCGAGTTACAGTACCAGCAACAGAAGCAGCAACAACCTCCACCGCCACCACCACCACCACCACCGCAACAGCGACTCAACAACAATGACACGCGATTACAGCACACTACAGCACCTCAAACGAGTCCAAGAGGTCCTCATCGGTTGTGTCCACGAGCCAGTTGCGCTTGTTGTGGATGAGCGGCGCAAGGTCATACTTCACCACTTTGCCGTTCTGTCAGTTTGTGTGTGTGTGTGTGTGTGTGTGTGTGTGTGTGTGTGTGTGTGTGTGTGTGTGTGTGTGTGTGTGTGTGTGTGTGTGTGTGTACG